ACACTATTCTTGAATTGTTAGCTGAGACGAATGGGTACTTGAAATAACCATAGAGAAACCCACTGTGCTCTCATAGAAACACGGTTTATAAGTGATATCTGGACCCCCCATTCACACTATTCTTGAATTGTTAGCTGAGACGAATGGGTACTTGAAATAACCATAGAGAAACCCACTGTGCTCTCATAGAAACACGGTTTTTTGCACATTTCAGCCAATCAATGCGCGCGTTAAATCATATATTTATTTAATTTATTCTTAGTAATCTGCTCTAAATCCACTCAGTGAAGCAAGTAAGTATTATAACTGCTAATTAGTCAAATCAATTAAAGTAGTTACTTGAATTAGCGCCGCGAGGTTTGTTTGATTGCTCGTGATCTAGCTGCGGCGTTTATTCACTTTACCGTATGATAAAGCCATCTTCATCCGTCGCCCGACCGACTCTAATTTTTCAAAATCCCTCAAAGAATAAATGAAATAACTATAAGTAAAAAAAAATTGTCATGAAAACATAAAGTAAAACTACAAAATAATAAAATAAGTACGCCCATGTTATGATATTGTTCATAATTTGTATATCAATTGTATCCCTTTAAGTAAACTTCAGACAGTAATACATAACAATTTTCTTTAACCCATTTTTTTAACACAATGTCTTTTTTGGTGATTTACATTCTATATTAGACACATTCATTTTCTTTTCTTTTCTTTTTTCTTTTTTTTTTTTCGACCGCACGACTCACCCATATAATGCTACTGAAGCGACGGGAAACAAAAAATATATGAGGATGATCTTGTACATGTAAAAGGGGCAAACCTGAATGTAATGAAAATACCATTTGCATGTCTTGTATTTAGTTCGTTTCATAAAGTAAAGTTACTCGTTCTATTTCAACAATCGCGTGTATGATATGAGTCTAACTGAATATGTTTTAAAGTGATATAAAAAAATAATTATAAAATTTTTGATATATAACGCGCGCTCTGATTGGCTGACGGCCGTGTTTATATCAGAGGACAGAGACACGGCTTACCGGCAAAATTTGTTTTTCGCTCGTGTTTCCAAGCTTGCTTCTCTCGTGTTTTTCAACTCTCTTTGTTGTTTAAATTTTCAATTTCTACTCAATACTGTGCTAGAGGTCTGACGGAGAACATTAGGGGGAAGACGACATGCTTGAGCGCCTGACAGGCAGCACTTGTTTTAGCTCCGCTTAAAATTTTTATATTTACCATTTTATCTCTAAATTTTATATATCTTATCCTATCAACAAATATCTATATGGCCGTACGTTACACAAGATCATTTTTGAGGGCTTTATCGTCGACCAACACTGAATTTCAGGCTTTTTGTTGTCCTGACTTATGGCGACGCTTGGCTGGATACGGCATTTCAAGAGTGAAACCAACACGAAGG